TCACATCTTGCTATAACATTACATAGCCTATACCACACTCTCACACTTTTATTTATTAGCGTTTTTGGGAGGAGTAAAATCTCGAATGCACTTCGGATGGCATTTATACCTGGTCTTTCCACGATCAGATCACAGAACGAACACGCATGAAATGGACAGGTGTAACATCTCTTCAATGAAAGGCATTTAGGAGATTATACACACTAATTTCCCCCCGGCCTTAATTTGAGATTGAGACCGGCCTTTATTTGTCCACGTTGATCACGCACCCGGCCACTATCAGAGGCCCTGCGTTTATTTGAATTCCGGTTTTTATTTGAGGAATTACGGTAAATACACAACTGAGCGACTTTCCACTTCCTTGTAAGGTAGAAAAACATGTTGCTAATTAAAAAAAATGTTATGTATACCTCATGCTTACAAGTGATACAATCCACTATCCACATTAAGAAATAATTTCTCAGTGTTTACATTTGTGTTTACATTTACATCAGTTGAAACATTCCTTTTTCATGTACACATTTAATATCATCATCATTGGCACATCTCTCTCAGTAAACGTGGCAGTGCACACATACCTAATTAAAATATAACTATACCAGCTCTCTGCTCAGCACACATGTACAAACATACTCTAACTTCATAAAATGGATTATGAAATTATTATAAAAAATAATAAAGAAAAATATACTAAAAAATAACAGTAAACAGTGTTTTTTTTGTCTTCAAACCAATTCTTGTATAAATAAATTTGAAGTTTATAATGTACATTTTAATGAATTGACTTGTATTATGTATTTTGAAAACAGTAATTTTGCAATTATAAGCCATTGATGGAATAATATATTTTGCAAAATATTAACAACTCACTAAAATATACACTGCTCTATGTGAACATACCTGAAAACATATCTGATGTGTTGGCTTTACTTAACTTTTTTTTATGTAAACAGGTTCCACCGGTTCCACATAACTGGGTTTCGTTAAACAAACATAATTTGTTCATGTCTCTGCAACATCATGGAAGTAATTTTAAGCGATCCGATTAAACTCTGAGCTGAGTGTTAAATGAACACTGAAGCAGTGTTAAAGTTAATGAGATAATTAAGTGAATAATTGAGTGATGATTGAGCATTATTGAAGTCACCTGATGACAGTAGTGGTTCTAGGCACGGGCGAACCGGGCAGTCGCCCGGGGCGGCATTTCTTCATGTCACATGGGGGGCGGCACGAGCAGTTAAAAAAAATACTCTGTGCCGCGAAGTTTTTTTATTTTTTATCATTTCGATTCAATTATTGGCAATGGCGCCCTGCTTGCTAAGAAGGTGCCGTGCGCAGAAGCGATGTCAAGGGGATCTCCTGATTAGTTCACGTATCGCGTCTTTTGCGCGCTCGAGGTCGTTATTTCAAATCCTCTATGTTTCAAATAGGCGCACGGGAAGTGCGCTCATTATGCGCTCACGGGAAGCGCGCTCATAAACTTTTCAGCACGTGCACCCAAACACTTGGGTGTTTTTTCTCTGCGCTCGAAGGGGGTCTCGCCCTGGGTGTAATTCAAAGTAGAACCGCCACTGCCTGATAACAAGCAGAATCACTGAAGGAGAAAACCGGAATTTAAAGTCACCGTTATGGAGATGAGTGTTAGTTTTAGTTGGGCTCTTGACCCCCACATTATTAACTTTAGATTATGTTTGGGTGTACGTGAGTTATAACAGCCAGATGATAACATAGAAAAGGTGATCTGATGCTGTTGGTTGTGTTTTAACATAATCATTATGTGTTGAAACACGATACCTCGACACTTGGTCAGGTGGAACTGGGGATTGAACCACCAGCCTTCCGGTTTGTAGACAATCTACATGAACCACTGTTAAGTTTACCTTATAGATTATAGCTGTACTGCTGTTGTAGAGCATACCATTTTTAGCCTTTCCAATGGAATTCAAATGATCAAATCAATTAAAAAAGAAACTTCTAAAAAACAAATTAGTTTATGTGACCACACACAGACATCAACTATTAGCCTGTAAATCTCAACAGTGTAGACTATTATAAACCATGTTGCAGTGCATTCTGGGTGCCACCAATCAAAACTCATTCATGGCTCCCACCATGCATTGCTGCATGAATAAATAATGAGCTTATGTTCAGAGGTGATCTGTTTGTCACCATTGTTGAGATTCATATGCTAAATATTGATGTCTGTGTGTGCATGCATACAAATGTTTTTTTTATCATTTTGATTTCTTTGAAAGGGCTAAAAAATGGTATGCTCTACAATGGCAGTGCTGCTATAATCCATAAGATAAACTTAACTCAGAAATTTGCTTCTGTATGAGTTTAGTGATTCAGCTCTATTGATCGTGATATAATGATTATGTTAAAACACAACCAACATCTACAGATCACATTTTCTAGTTGAATATTTGACTGTTATAGCTCAGACAAAATCTAAAGTTAATAATGTGGGGGTCAAGAGCCCAGCTAAAGCAAACACTGATCTCCATAATGGTGACTTTAAATTCCGGTTTTCTCCTTCAGTGATTCTGCTTGTTATCATCAGGTGTCTTCAATAATGCTCAATCATCACTAAATTATTCACTTAATTGTCTCATTAACTTTAACACTGCTTCAGTGTTCATTTAACACTCTGCTCAGAGTTTAATTGAATGGCTTAAAATGACTTCCATGATGTTGAAGTTACATGAACAAATTATGTTTGTTTAACGAAAACCCAGTTATGTGGAATGGGTGGAACCTGTTTACATAAAGTTAAGTAAAGCCAACAAATCATTTTTTTGAGGGATGTTCCTAACATATCTGACAATTGACCAAAATACACCTCAGGTTTGTAGTTGTCATGTGATGAACAGACAACCATTTTTTCTGCAAGCTGCTAATCCTGTGTAACTGAATCTGCATAACTTGTCTTCTTGCTAAAGAAAACAATAGCAAATATAACGTCAGACAAACTCAACTGTTAAATCTAGATTTTAAAGGCTAAAGGGTGAGTGCAATGTTACTTAGTGCACTTGGGTCATGTCCAAATCCAATTTTGCTAGTTTAACTACGGACAAAATGGTCAGTGCTGCCGGCACATGCACTGTTAATCCTTGCTGTAAAAAAGTGTCCGTATCATACCATTTTCCATTATACCAGTAATATACCACAGAAAAACAATGCATCTGGGTTATATTTTGCATTTTAGAGAAAGTAGCCTACAGGAATATACTGTAAATTAACAGTGCTCAAAGTCGACAATCAGAGGCTGTGTTCCAAATCACACCCTATGCCCTCATTCACTATTCACTACAGCAGTTCACTAATATAGTCCACTTGACTGAAAAGAAGTGAGTGAATTGAGAAACCGATGAACACTTGATAAGCAGAATCACTGAAAGACAGAAAAACAAGAACAGAAAAAAGAGAAACAAGAACTACAACTGACTTCCAGACACACTGAGTGTGAAAACAGTTTACAAACCAGTTTAACATTATTTATTTCATACATGTACAAAAGCTTGTGTTGAGAATTAACAGAGATTTAGTTAATAATAAAGTTTGTTGTCACCATTATGGAGATCAGTATTTGCATTAGTTGGTCTCTTGACCCTTGACTTTATAACATTAGTTTCTGGCTGCTGTAACAGTGAGTTTATAAAACACATTTGTTATGGCAATAAAAGTCAAGATGAAGTTGATCAGGTGTTTATAGCTGTTGTGATGATGCCATAAACATCCTGGACATGTATGATTCTCTGATCTTATCCTGTGTGTAAGTTTTAAATGTGTGGGTATTTCATATATCTGTGAATTTTCAAAATGAAATCCAGCAATATTGCTGTAATTAGGCCTTCTGAAGAACATATTAATTATATAGTGCATTAAAACATTTTGAATTGCGTGTTTCAGACACACAGACATCAACAATCAGCTAATGAATCTCAACAATGGTGACAATCAAAGGTTTTATGTTGCAATGCATTCTGGGTTCTAGGATAGTATAAAACTCCCAGCATGCACTGCTGCATGAATGAATAAATAAATACTAAAAATAATGCGACCACTGTTGCAGTTCATGTTTGACATCTTTGTGTTTTTACAAGATGTGTTAAAAAAATAATTGTGTCTCATTACTGTAGTTTCACAGTGATGGTAATGTAACACTTTTGACAGAGAATTACACACTGAATGAGATTTATGAATGAACAAGCTATATTTGTCATCATAATCGCAACAATTCACAAGCTGTGCCTGTGCACAAGAGCGACCTGAAGAAACACAGATCAAGCACCAAGAAAAAAACTAATATTAAATAGTCAAGGGTCAGCATTTTAACTAGCATCTCAATGCAACTTCAAACCAACCATTTTCAATTAAACATCTCAACAACATCTTCTAGATGTATGACAGATATAAAGCAATACTGGATAATAATAATAATAATAAGTGTGATAATGTGTGATGGCTGGAAGTCAGTTGTAGATCTTGTGTTTTCCTATTTTCTGTTACTGTTCCTGTGTCATTCCCTGGTTCTACGATATTTTTTAGTGATGTCAAATGAAATAAGTTCAATTTTCTTTTGTTCACATGATTAGTATATTACACATTTTAGTTGATACATTTAAATGAGAGTTGGTCATTTTAAGGCAGTCGGATTCTGCAAGTGAAATTAGTTAACTTGAGTTTTAATTTACTGCATTTTTACAGTAACATACTGTGTCGATTACTGTAAAGAAATGAACAATTAACAGTAACTTAAGTAGGGTTGTCATTGTGGTGCTTCTACGTTTACTAAAGTAAACATGTCTCTGGTTATTTGTACTTAAGTACTTCCTCCACTGCTCCTGCTAAATATTCTGTTTAGACTGCACATTTGTTAAAAGAACATTTTGCAAGTTGGTATTTTTTTTACAGTGTATTGTTCTTTAAATCCAAAGTAAAATGCTCTTTATTTATTCAACAGGGTAAATGTGGATGTTTAAACAGGACTCAGACTAGATCAATACAGAGAGCAGGAAGAGACTGAAAAAATGAATAATCTATTTTGCAGACTTCAGCTTGAAGTCAGAGACCACAATAAACTGAGCACTGCAGAAGTTCATCAGTTATCTAAACATTCATTACAGTCACGTGAGTCTTGTGCTGAAGAGGAGCTGATTCAGACTTTCATACAAAAACTACTGATGCTGGATTACAGAGCGAGATACATTGAAACTAATCAAACCAATGAGGAGGATCACACACAATCAAGAGACAATGACTCATGTCAAGATGATGGTGATATATTTACAGCAATGTCTTTGTCTAACAAAGGGACAAGTCAGTTTGAGCGGATACACCCAATGGATATTCAGATGGCTGTGTTTCATTGTGCTGATGGATTCCTGAAGCAGTTGATGGTCACTAAACTGTCCCAGTGTCAGTACGCTCTGCCTCTGCTTGTTCCTGATCCATTCACACAACAGATTGAGTTTCCTCTCTGGACATTCAGACAAATCAGCAAGAGCTGGAAGAAGAGAAACACCAACAATGAAATATTTAGTCAAACCCATCCGGTCTACAAGGCACAAACTCCGATGGTGTCTTTCTTCAGGTTTGACTCTGTGTCTTTATCCAAGTCTGAGCTGATGAACAGTCTGATCAATGACAAACACAACACGTTCTTCCACAGGAACTGTCCAGGCAGCAGCAGAACCAGAGTCCTGATGGATGGAGTGGTGGAGATCGCCTGGTTCTGCCCCTCTGGGAAAAACACGGATAAATTCACGGACTGTGTTGCGTTCTGTAATCTACATGGTGATGCAGGAGATCATGAGAAACAGCTGCAGATCCTCACTGAACTGGCCTCAGTCAATGTTGTTCTTCTACCACAACTGGACAAGAATGACAGAAGTGCAGGAATGATCCAGAACTTGTACAAAGACTCAAAGCCACTCATTTGTCTTTTTACTGAGGATGAATCCGCTGTAACTAAGCCGAAGAAAGGGAAATTCAAGATTGGTTTGAAAGACAGAAATCGGGCAGATGTATCTGAAGAACTCAGAAGAGTCATAAATGAGTGTCTCTCAGAGTCATCTTCCACTTTCAGACTTGAAGAAGTGTCCAAACACTCAGACATCAGAGTAGATGAGGAAGATGATGAAGACTGCAGGAGAGGAAGAGAAGCAGCACAGCAGATGATGAGTTTACTGGAGAAGAAAGATCTGACAAAAATCAAAGATTCATTTCTGCCTCATCAGGGTAAACTGTGGCGTCAGTGGTGTCAGAAGAACAAAGAACTACATCGACCTCAAGGAGATGAATTAGAACAGGAAATAAGTAGAAAACAAACAGAGATGAAGAAAATACGGGAACAGCAGCATGCATCTAACATTCATAATTTTATAAAGTTGTTTATAAAAGGCATTCACTTGAAAGCTGAGATACAGGTGTATTTTCTTAAATGGCTTGGAATATTCCTGGATGAATATACATCAAATGACATTTCTGTTCTTCATAACAAATATGATGAAAAGTGGTCAGCACTTGTAAAACTGAAAGAGAAACATGTTAAATCTCAAAAACTGACAGCTGAACAAACTGACCTTGAGAGAATATCTGAGGATCTTCAAGCCGCAGCCTTTGGTTTGGAGCACATCATGAGGGAGATCGGTCAGATCTATGAATCATGTTCATCTGTGAAGAAGAACAAGAAAGGCCTTCAGTTTCACTTCTCTTCTCTCCCGAGTCTCGCAGCAGAGATGATGATCTCTGGGTTTCCACTGGAGCTGATGGATGGAGATGCTGCTCATGTTCCTGTGATCTGGATCTCTGCTGTTCTAGATGCACTCATCCAGAAACTGGGAAATCAGAGAGTCTTTGTGCTGTCAGTTTTAGGGATTCAGAGCTCTGGGAAATCCACCATGCTGAACGCCATGTTTGGACTCCAGTTTGCCGTCAGTGCTGGCAGGTGCACCAGAGGAGCTTTCATGCAGCTGGTCAGAGTCTCAGACGAGATGAAGACACAGATGAACATCGACTATATTCTGGTTGTTGATACTGAGGGTCTTCGTGCTCTAGAACTGACTGGAAGATCAACAAGACATCATGACAATGAATTGGCCACATTTGTTGTTGGCCTTGGAAACCTGACCTTGATCAACATCTTTGGTGAAAACCCATCTGAGATGCAGGAAATTCTTCAGATTGTTGTTCAGGCCTTCATGAGGATGAAGAAGGTCAGACTGAATCCCAGCTGTGTGTTTGTGCATCAGAACGTCTCAGACGTCTCAGCTGGACAGAAAATAATGGAGGGAAGGAGACGACTGCTGGAGAAACTGGATGAGATGACAAAACTCGCTGCTGAAGAGGAAGTCTGTGATGCAGAATGTTTCAGTGATGTCATTAGATTTGATGTTCAGAATGATGTGAAGTATTTTGTTCAGCTCTGGGAGGGAAACCCACCGATGGCACCACCAAACCCAAACTACTGTGAGAATATTCAAGAACTAAAGAAAACTATTGTGTCTCATGCCTCAAAGTCACATGGAATGATGTTGATAGACCTAAAAGATCGTATTAGAAATCTCTGGGAGGCTTTACTGAATGAACGATTTGTCTTTAGCTTCAGAAATGCCCTGGAGATTTCAGCCTACAGGAAACTGGAGACCGAATACAGCAAGTGGTCCTGGAGTCTACGCAGTGCCATGATTGAAACTGAGAACAAACTACACAACAAAATAGAAAATGAAGCAATCCATGAGGTTGAGGAAACTGATCTTCAAAGAGAACTGAAAAAGACAAGCGAAGAAGTCAAAAAATCAATGTCTGAATTCTTTGAGAAAGACACAGATGCAGATATCCTCATTCAATGGAAAAATTCATTTGAAATCAAAACTAAAGAGCTTCAGGAAAAGATTGTAAGAGATACAAGGAAGAGATTAAATGGTATTCTTAATCAGCGAGACCTGAAGAAAACGATTGATGCTAAGAGGACACAACATGAAAACACTCTCTATGAAAAGAGCAAAGAACTTGCCTTAAAACTCAAAAACAAAGCAAATGATGAAGAAACACTGAAGAAAGAGTTTGATTTGTTTTGGGATCAGAGTGTGAACAAGATCCCCAGAGACACTCATGCAATCAGAGACATTGATATATTGAGAGATGTGAAATTCCTCCTTGGTGACATCTGTGAAAGTGTTCCTGTAGACCACTGGAAAGATGGTAGTGAGTACAACGACATTTTCACTGTGGAAAGTTATTCTGAATATGTTGTTTTCAACAATTCAAAAAACACAGTTGAAAGGATAATGACGAGTATGTGGAGAAATGTAGAGAAAATTGCCGAGAAATTAGGATTTGCTCGACCTCAAGATGATGAAGCCCAGATTAGATCATTTGTCCTAAATGTTGCTCAGGAGACAGAAAAAATTATTCAGTCTTTTAACATTTCAAAGATGGGATACAACAACAGCTCCATTCAACAGCTCATATATTACATCAAGAAGAGGATAACAAAACAAGAAAAAACATTGACATATAAGTTCAATAATGAATTTTTTGTTGATTTGATTATTTCTATCTGTATGAGAGCAAACAAGATGATCACTGACCAACACAGAATGTTCAGAGATGCCAATGATCCTGAAATATATGTTGACAAAAAAAGAGAAGAGTATTATAGTATTTTCCAGAAATACTGTCATGGATCAACATCAGCTGCCATTTTTGGAGAGATCATCTGTCAGAAACTGAAAGAGCCCATTGAGCAGAGTCTCTACAAGAAGACTGCCAGAGATCTGACAGATGAAATGAGATCAAACTGTGAATCACTGAATGGAAACAGATCAAATCTGGAGAAACACATCCTGAAGACACTGGCTGAGAAAGATGATTTTGACAAATACATGAACTACATCAAAACTCCCAGAGATCACTTCAAGAGTTTCATCAGAGATGAAGTCAGTCAGTACATCACTGATAAGTTCAGTGTCACTGTTTTACCCAAGATGAAGGAGAACATTAAACTCCTGCAGAAGAAGATCATGAAAGCAGCTCACGAATCTAGTGAACATGTTCAAGAGTACAGAGGAGATGTGGGTTTGTGGTTGAAGAGTTTCACACAGCAGCTCTCAGATGAGCTGATCTTCTCTGAAAAAGATCTCAGTGGAGTGAAGCATGATGATGTTGATGATTTCAAACTTCTTGAAGATGTAATAAGACAAGAACTTCCTGCGATAATGACTGACATCTGCAGTAGATTCAACACAAAGACATTTCCAGTAAAGCTGGACTATAAGTTCAGGCCAGATGAGCTTCTGATTGGTCACCTCTGTCAGTGCTGTTGGGTTCAGTGTCCGTTCTGTAAAGCCATCTGCACCAACACCATTGAGAACCATGATGGAGATCACAGTGTCCCTTTCCATCGTATTATTGGACCAAATGGGTGGTTTTACAAAGGAACAACACACTTGGCTACTGAAATCTGCACATCAGCAGTAGCAAGCAATCGTTCTTTTTATCCCAATGACTCAGAAGATACATTCCTCTGGAAAGATTACAGAAAAGCAGGAGGAGTTTATGCTAACTGGAGCATCACCCCTGATCTCTCTGAACTGCCCTACTGGAAGTGGTTTGTGTGGAGATTTCAGAAAGATCTGGAAAAACACTACAGTAAAACATTTGAGGGGAGTGGTAAGATACCAGATGAATGGAGAAAATACTCTAAACAGGACGCTATTAAGAGTTTGGATCAATACATTTAATTGAACAAATTCATTATTTTCTTTTGAATGTCAGAACATTTTGAAAGGAGTTTCTGTTCTTTACATCAGTGACTCTGAAATTAGTACAGAATAGATTAGAGAGAAGAGTTTAAACTCCAGAGAATCAATATAAGACAAATAACTACTACTTGCAAACATAAAAATAATCAAATGTAATCCATCCATGTTTCATTCTGATTTAATTTCTAATTCTGGATTGTAAAAGATGTGACGTGTCTGTTAGTGGTTGGATACTCGTTTTGTTTTGTGCTTTAAGAATTATTAAAACATTGTTCATGTGAAATGGGGATGATAATATAGGGAAGTGTGGTTCTGTACTCTGGAAACAGAAACATGTCAGACTATTTTTAAAATGATATTTAGTGTCTCTCTCCAGATGTCGAGTTATAATATCTAAATAAAACCAATCTAATCTGCACACATGGCTCAGTTTTCTTTGAGAAGTAAACTCATATTTAACTGACTAACGTGATTATTCTTTTGTTAAATCCATTTTACATTCATGACTATTTACTGATCATGTGACCACAGTTGTACAGAAACAAACTTGAGGTTGAGGGTGAGAGAGAAAAAAGAAAAAGGAGAGAAAAACAGATGGAGACACTGTCCTCGACCCGACATCACTGTTATCTATTTATCATTGTAACACACGTAACACTTTACAATAAAGCGTAATAGATACAAATTAGAAACAAAGAAAATCTTTAAAATTTTATCAAATTTACAGCAAAGATTTTTTTAATTAAAAAACAAATCCAGAATATTAAAGACTCACCCTGTATGTCAAAATATTTCTTAAAATCTTCAATAATTTCCCCCCATCTCTTTCTCTCTTCTTCTCATCTCTCATCATCTTCTCGTCTTCTTCTCTCCCACTCCTCTTTTCTCGGTTGCTCCAGTTGTTTATAATGTCTTTGCATTTCAGTTGCCTTTTCTTCATTTTCTTTCTCTTTCTCTTCTCTGTTTCTGTCTCTCCTCCTCTATCTTCTGTCTTTCTTCTTCTCGTTCCTTTTTAAATCCCGTTCTCATTTTCTCCTGTTCTTCTAGTTTTTCCTTCAGTTGTTCTTCGTGTTTCTCTTTTTTCTTTCTTTCTTATTCCTCTCGTTCTCTCATCTGTGGTTTCTTCTGTTCTGTTTTCTCTTTCTCTTCAAACTCTCTTTTGAGTTTTTCCTCTTTTTCTCTGATTTGATTCTCCATTTTCTTTCTCTCCTCGTCTCTTCTTCTCTTCCTCGAGTCTCTTCATCATGATTTTCATGTCCATCTCATATTTGGCTTGTAAGTCTTCTCTCTGTTTCTGAATTTCTCTTTCTCTCTCTTTTATTATTTCATCCATTCTCTTTTTAATAGGCTGTCTTTGTCTCCTCAAACATGCTGTTACTAAAGCATTGACCCTGAATGGTGTTTTTCACTATCATGTTTAACAGTTGAATCACTTGAGTTCTGTCTTGTTTTTCTCTGTTATTAAAAACCTGGAATCTGTTTCCACACAGCAAAATCACCAGTGTTAAAAGTATAATGATAACAGCATCACCGTGATTCTATAACATTAGATCCAGATTTTTCAAAATAAACCAAATGATATCTTAAATGTTGTTCTGATAAATAAAAATCTTTCTTTTAGGCACACAGAGACATCAAGATTCAGTGTATGAATCTCAACAATGGTGACAAGCAGAATATTAAATTAGGGAATGGAAATTACTAAGACAATGCACTGCAACATGCTATAATTGTCACCATTGTTGAGAATCACAGGCTGATTCTTGATGTCTGTGTGTGCCTATAAAGTATTTAGAATAGAACAGCTTTTAAGAAATCTTTTGGATAATATTTACATTTCTGAAAAAGTTATACTGTGGAATCAAAAGGTTAAACTCTACAAATGAGTTTGGTGACAAATGATGATTATGTCAAAACCTAACCAACCCCAATGCATCAGCTTTCCTTGTTGTTCATCTGGCTGTTATAACTCATGTACAACAGCCCAACTAAAGCAGACACTGATCACCATAATGGTGACTTAAAAAATATGACGTTCTCCTTCAGTGATTCTGCTTGTTATCATCAGGTGTCTTCAATAATGCTCAATCATCACTCAATTATTCACTTAATTATCTCATTAACTTTAACACTCTTGAGTCTGGATCCAAATAAACTCCCAGTAAAGTTAATTTAACACTGGAGTTTTTGCTGTGGGTGGAATAAAAATGTGGCAGGACTTTTACTTTCTGACCCCTGGACTTTTCCCATCCAAAACTCGGGTCTTAGGAGGTTGTATGTGTGTGTGTGTGTGTGTGTGTGAGAGAGAGAGCACCTCAGTCTGATATAGATCATGTCAGTTATGCGTGTAGCACTTCATGCTGTTCAGAAATAAACCGGAAAAACGAGATTCTTCAGTTGCTGGTTTCAGTCTGAAGATTACAGAGATGAGTGTCATTGATCAAAACAAGCTGAACAAGATTACACTCATACATCATAAATCAGTGTTTGCTGAGCAAGAGTCCCCAAATCAGCTCAAACACATCATTATATTCATCAATATACTGTTTAATTTCATTGTAGATTGACGTCTATCAGTTTCTAAACACAAGAACTGCTGTCTGATCTTATTATGAACACATGTAAATGTGATATTGAGATTGATATCAACTATAGAGATACACTACTGGTCATACGGTTGTTATAAAGATATTTTAATGTTTGTGAAAGAGTCTCTTCTGCTCACCAAGACTGCATTTATGTGATCAAAAGGCATAATGATGAAATTAAATATTATTAAATGTGTTGTTTCACTGCCTTGTTGATGCGAGAGGTCAGAGGAGAATGGGCCGACTGATTCAAGCTGATAGAAGAGCAACTTTGACTGAAATAACCACTCGTTACAACCGAGGTATGCAGCAAAGCATTTGTGAAGAAGACACAACACGCACAACCTTGAGGCGGATGGGCTACAACAGCAGAAGACCCCACCGGGTACCACTCATCTCCACTACAAATAGGAAAAAGAGGCCACAATTTGCAAGAGCTCACCAAAATTGGACAGTTGAAGACTGGAAAAATGTGGCCTGGTCTGATGAGTCTCGATTTCTGTTGAGACATTCAGATGATGAAAAATACATTTAGTTATAAGCTTTTTTAAAAAGGTACGTTTTTAAATTTTGTTTAAAAACATCTGTAGTCTGTGGGGCCCTCAGGTGATCAGGGAGGGCATTCCACAGCTTAGATAGGGGAAGGTTATGTACTGGGGCGTTTTGCACATCATCCGCAGTTGCAATGCAATGGGTGAGATGCCACTACAATTAAAAAGGGAACAACTGGCAGCCAATTATTGGGCAAACCTACAAGGACAGGGTAGGTCTCACCCCACAAGAGCAGTTTTGCAGTTTTGTTGGGAACATGAAAAGGTTAAAATTCAGAGTTTTGGATGGGTGGGTGATACTATTGGGAAAGAGATGGGATTAGAGGGAAAGGAATTTAGCCCAACAGTTCTGCTGCCAGTCAGACCACCTTGGCCTCTTTGGCACACTAGTGTGGACCTTGAGATTTTAAATACCCACTCAAGAAATAGAGCGGAGGTGGATTTATGTCAAGTATTTTGTGATAGGATGAGTGACAAGTATGGGGAATATTTGGTCATATTTACTGACGGATCTAAAGACCCTGAGTCGGGAAAAGCTGGAGCTGCTTTCAGTGTACCAAAGATGGGGGTGGAAATGAAGAAGAGAATCTCTGATAATTAATCAGTATGTGGAATTGGTAGCTGTTTGGTTGGCATTGAATTGGGTTGAAGAAGTAAAACCAGAAAAGGTTGTTGTATGTTCAGATTCAAGTGCAGTTCTGAAAAGTTTGTATTCTTTTAAGTAACAAGCAAGACAGGACATAATATATGAAATACTAGAATTGCATTCACGGATTTGTCAGATGGGGATAACGATAAAGTTTACATGGGTACCAGCACATGAAGGAGTGAAGGGTAATGAAGTGGTAGATAGATTGGCAAAGCAAGTGAGTAAACAAGAAGAGGTTGAAGTAATTACAATAAGTAAAGCAGAAGCGAAAGCACAAATCTGGTCAAATATCAATAAAAAGTGGCAGGCACATTGGGATGCGGAGGAGAAAGGAAGACATTTATATAACATTCAACAAAAGATTGGGACAGAGAGGGTCACTGGAAGGAAGCGAAGGGAAGAAATTATCTTTACGAGATTAAGAATAGGACATTGTGGGTTAAATAAGTATGTACATATTGTAGGTAAGCACGTATCGGGTAGGTGTAAATTTTGTGAAAATATTGAATCTGTGGAGCATGTGATTTTTGAATGTCAGAAATATGAGAGGGAAAGAGGAAAGATGAAAGAGGGTATAAGGGAATTCACTAAGAGAATTGCTGTGGAAATCAGTAAATGGTGTGAGTGCATTGGTATTTCAATTCTTAAAAGAAACAAGACTGGCAGTAAGGATTTAGGTTGATTATTATTATTATTATTTTTTTTGTTAAGAAGGAAAAAGAGGAAAAATAATAAAAAGTTAATTTTGGTTTGATGGGTTATTTAGGTATTTATTTTATATCCAGTCCACACTCCAATATAGTAGGTGGCGGTAATGCACCTTTAATGTTGGTTGGCCAACCGCCGTAAAACGACAAAGAAGAAAAAGAAGTTTTTTTTTTTTTTTTTTATTTTTTTTTTTTTAAAAGAAGTTAGAGAGGGGTGACAAAAACATGGATGTGAGCAGTAGCTCAAGGTATTCATCTGTGGTTGGGTTTTTGAGGTAGTGATGGGCAGATCGAGGCTTTGTGAAGCAATGAAACAGTTGAAGCAAATGTGCTATATTGTTTCGAGGCTTCGAATCAATCCGACACCCGTCTCCATGGTGACACCTAGTGGTCAATTGCAGGTGTTGATCTGAAACAACCTTTACAACAATGTGTTTTTTTATTATTGTATTTTTTAAATATATGATGCTTACCTGTAGTCTCTTCACATTGCATAATATTATTATTGTAATATATATATTATGAAAAAAACAAATCAAGCCACAATGTCTCACTTTCTTATAGATTTTTATTTAAAAATTGTAATTTCTCTTCTGTTCTTTATATTAATCTGTCTATATTGTGCACACAGAATGCCTATATTCTTAAAGTCTTGTGCTGTTTTATGAAGGCAAAAAGCCATATAATGGTTTCGATTTTAGTTCATTGGCAAAATATAACGCTAGAGACAATATATATATATATATATATACACACACACACACACATATATATGTATGTATTTATGTATATGTATGGGGGAAAGGGGGTCTTTTCAGTGAACAGGCCTATCACGAACAGCTGTAGTGGCGTACGTAGATCGTAGAGCGCGTAGTTCTTAAAAGAGCAATTGATGTGTTCGGCCTCGGGTTCGAGCCTGGCTT